GTGAGGACATGTTTTTTTCTGTCATTTATTGTTCCCTGACTGTCTTTTTGTTGGATTTTTCTTGGAGCGTCTTTATTTATTTATTTTTCAGTTCTTGGGATTTTTAGACTCGGACTTGTACCAACCTTTTAGGATTTTTACTTGGATGTGTCTCAGTTGTTAGAGGTTTCTGTCTTTTGATCTTAAGGGTTTTTTTTAACTTTGACCTGTCCTAGCCATTAGAGGTTTTGGACTCAGATGCATCAAAGTCTTTGAGGTTTTTTGTCTCCATCAGACTCTCAAGGGCCTTTAGACTCGGACTTGTACCAGCCTTTTAGGATTTTTTTTTTGGACACGCCTCAGTTGTTAGAGGTCACTGTCTTTTGGTCCTGAGGGTTTTTTATTTGTCTCAGCCTTTATGAGTTTTTGACTCAACCTCTCTGAGGGATTTTTCTACATCATGAGGATTTTTTAAGTGGACTCATCTGAGGTTCGAATTCTCAAGGACTTTTAGATGAAAACCAGAAGGTCTTGACTCGAGACTTGTTGAGGCTCTTTGGACTTCTCTCTGTTTTGATTACTCGTGTACCACAGTTAAAAACTCTACTTTATCAATATTCTGTGTTTGTAGGTGTAATATTTCACACATGGACAGTGATCTTTGGGTGAGTCGCTCTGAAGAAATCAAACATCAAAAAAGAAAAAATGAAGGAAAGACATGAGTGAGGAGAAAACAGATCACAGAGATACTTTTTACATTTACTTCCTTTGGTTACACTTTAATTGATGGGTCTTTTCATTTTCCAATTTCTTTGAATCAGTCATCATTGTCTTCTGATTCTCTTCTCTTTCTCATGAGATTTTCTCTTTAGGATTGTTAACTGAGATAAGAAGTGAATTGTTTTAGAAACAAGAACCTTCTTATCAACAATTAACAGATGATTTTTATGGTTGTTAAAATGAGATGAGGAAGATGAGCGACCAGGAAACTGAAGCGTGGCCTTTTCTTTTTAATGAGAAGCTGCCTAAAGTTCTGTTGAGGCTCTGAGCTTTGTGACATTTCCGGCGAGAGTCAAAAGTTGCTGCAGAAGTTTCCTGCAGCTCAGTCCGACCTTTAGGACTTCTCGCAGCTGCTGGTCTTCTTCCAGCAATGTGTCAGACTCACGGGGCGTTGCGTAATGTGTCAGAACGCCTGAAGGCTGCTGAATGCTCACCTCCTCTCAAACACAGCTGCACTCTTCAAGTTTCTTTTCATAAATACCATCATCTTCTCTCTGTCGCTGTCCTGCATCTCTCCTTCCTCAGTCTACACCACAGACACATTCTACAAATACACAAATATACAAGTACACTCGATATACAAGAAAGAATGTTTTGTCCACTGGAAGGTCACTCTAGAGGACACCAGGCTCTGTGAACCTTAACTGGGAAATCAGTCTTTATAGATGGTCAGTAATTACCTCAAAGTTTTGTTGAAAGCGACTTATTATATATATATATATATATATATATATATATATATTTATATTCATTTTTCCCCACACACGTCGTGAGCTGTTTGATGTTGAACCCCTGACCCTGAAACCACCCCATCAGGTTTGTGTTCTTTCTCTGCTGCATTCACTCTGAGCTTGTTGTTATATTTATAGCTGTATTTGAGGTTAGTGTATTACATAAGAAGCCTGTTTAGTAACGTGATCCTCCCACTTAAAACACAGGTTGATGTTGTGTGTTCGGACTGCAGCTGCAGTCACAGGACAACTGTTGAACTTGTGTGTGTTTCTACCAACAACTGAACTGTGAAATCAACTCATTTTTCATTCAACTTTTGCTTTATATTATATCGATGCACGATTGTTCAGGTTAAGACCAGAGAGAAAAACTGTGTTATGGATTAAAGAGGCTTTTAAAAGTTAAGGTCAGTGTGTTAGGGGTTCACATGGCCTTTCAGAAAGGACCTTCTAACCAGTCACACTGTCATGTTTTAGGACAGTTTTTTAATCTTTTTGTCTCAGTGTTCCTGGACTCACAGCGGCTCGACAACAATCCTCCAGATGGCCAATCCTCCGTGCCGGTGGGTGGCAGCGAGCGGTGTGAACCAACTGATGACATTTATATCTAAGTAAAAGCTGCTGGGCGGATTACACTACACGCTGAATTTAAGAACGAGTTCTCACAATGTGAAAAATATCTTTTTGTCAGATGTTACACAAAAGGAATGAAATTAATGTTGAAATGGCTCGTTTTTGAAGGGAGTCTGGTGTGTGCAGGCAGGATTCAGACAGACAGATTGTTTGTACAACTGATGATTGGAGTCTGTGTGTGTGTGTGTGTGCGTGCGTGTCCGTCCAGCTCAAGCTAAGTGGGTCAGCGTCTCTGTAGTGGGCAAGTGAGTTATAGACCTGCTGAGATAAAGAGAGTGAACGATACTTGGAGCTTTACACATAATGTATTTGTGTGTGTGTGTGTTGTGTGTGTGTGTGTGTGTGTGTGTGTGTGTATGATAGTAGTTAAAATAATAATAATTAAATTGCTCTGCAGGTCTGTTTTTGGTCCTGGTTTGTCCCCAGTAAAGAGCTGTATTTATAGATATATATATTAGTGTTTAATCAGCTGATAATAAGAATCATTGTGTGTTTGTAACCCTACAATGAGACGTTTTTATCTACAGAGGGAGCGGGTCCTCTTCTGGTGGAGTCCGCCATGTTTCTACTGTAGCCCAGAACAGACAAACCAAACACTGGCTCCAGAGACTTTTTCATGTTTCAAGTTTCACAGCCACCATAGTCTGTCCTACACACAGGGAATGGGAGGCTCCATCAGTCTATGGAGTCCTGTTCTGAAGCCTCCAGTTGGGAATTTTGGTTGTCGTTTACTGTTTATCTGGAATACCAGATCCTGTGTGAGCAGGAGAGCCGCCATTGTTTCCAAACCAAGAGCAGCCAATGAGAGCAGCTTAACTTGCTTTACGTGACCTCCGCTGGCTGCTAAACACCAACATGGAGACGACCATAAAGCCCAACTGGAGGTTCAGAGCTCCACAGACCGAAGGGGGACCACAGAGTCCAGCTGGACGGACTCACTGAGAATGAGCTGTCAATCACAAGGTAGCCCCGCCCTAAAGCATACCCTGCTTTATGGTCTGTTTTACTCTAAATGGGACCATCAGTTACTAAATGAACATCATGCTGTATGGAAGAAGACTGAAACTAGAGACTGAGACCAGAAACTCATCAGGAAACTGTTTACTGAGCTCATTAATGAACTTCTCCATAAGACTCAATACTATCAGAGAGGAGCTGCCCCCTGCTGGCTGGCAGGTTTAACACACTGTCCACTTATTATATGCTGTTAATGGTTTGTCATGTTGCAGCTGGTAAACGTGGAGCCCATTTTAATGACTTTACATACTGCAGGGTAGTTTAATGAATAATACGTAATAATTTATTAATATAATAGGTAATATAATATTCTGGCTTTAGTAAACCACCACTGCAACTACTTTATTAAAATGAAATATGAAATCACAGGAGTTGATCACCTTGAACTGAACAGCCTCATGCAGACAGCCAATCTATACTGTAAACTGACAGTTTTTAGCTTTAATTTTACATTTAATGTGTAATATTTTATCTTTTAAATATTTAATTAAAGATATTTACAGTGTAAAACAATGATCTATAAATACAAGTGAACTCTGCTATAATACAATAATCAGACTTTACAGCAGAGTGCTGTTAGTATTGGATTGTTATTATTTTAATGTGAATGTTAAAAGTTATAGAACTGTAATAAAAGTTATTATCTGTGAGATTACAGTAATTATTGCTGTTTACACTGATAACAACTGTATTTGGACAGTTTACCAATGCTTATACACTGATAAACAACATTTATTCAACTTCCATCATTATACAACATATCTGTCAGTTAACTCACTAATACATTACATTTTTATGTGAAAAAAAGGAAATTTTCTTTGAACAATCAGTAATTTTATGATTATTTACAGTTTTCCTTTTACAGTGTGGATGTTTCTACACAGTGAATACGTGTAAATGTTGTATTAAAGTTGTGATTTAGAGGGATTCACCTCATACAGCCGCCCGCTGTGACGACAGGGACGGTTAAAAATAATGTCTGAAAGAAAGAAATAAAAAAACAAAAAGAGGAACGGGTGTTTGAACAGTGAGAGAAAAACAACAAAGGAGATGTGTGTGTGTGTGTGTGTGTGTGTGTGTGTGTGTGTGTGTGTGTGTGTGTGTGTGTGTGTGTGTGTGTGTGTGTGTTTGTCGGGGGGGGCAGATGGCAGCTAAATATAACGACTTCTGTCACAGGAAGAGGAAGTGATCCCTAAAAACAGACCACAGAAAAGATTGATAGATAGTGTGTGTGTGGGTGTGTGTGTGTGTGTGTGTGTGTGTGTGTGTGTGTGTGTGTGTGTCAGAGTGTGTCAGAGTGTGTGTGAGAGTGTGTGTTATAAATCTCATTCTGTGTTTGGAGGAAGAAACAGATGCAGCAGTTTTGCCTCATTATGTAAAAGACAGGACACACACACACACACACACACACACTCTGACACACACTCAGACACACAAACACACACACACAAACACACACTCTGACACACACTCAGACACACAAACACCCACACACAAACACACACACACTCTGACACACACTCAGACACACACACACACACACACACACACACACACTCTGACACACACTCAGACACACACACACACACACCTGACACACACACACACACACACACACACACACACACACAGCTCTCTGGTGGATGTGGTTGGCATGGCAACATGTTGATGACCATATTTGGCATTTAAAATGTTTTCACAGTTTGAAAATTTGGAATCGTTTCTAATAGATGAAAGGAAGAAGGGAATAAAAAGAGAAGGAGAAAGCCGAGGAGGGAGGGAATGTGACTGTAGAAGAGGAGGGACAGTGGATGGAGGAGACAAGGAAGGAAGGAAGGAAGGGAGAGTCAGGAGGAGTAT